CGGGCATCGGGAGGCCACTATGGCACGGGGCAAGCACTATGGGCAGTCTATCTGAAGTGTACCTGGCGTATAAGACGACCTCCCACTTGGAGGCATATTTTTCAGGGCCAAAAAATCGTCTTATACGCCGGCAAATACGGTAATTCAATCAAAAATAGAAAAAGGGTTGGAATTTAGTCATTGACTTTGCCAGCTCTAAAATCCTCCTTCAGTGAAAGTAAAAGTAAATTAGGGTCAATATTAAAAAAGGAAATAAATGTGAAAAAACTTCTGCCAACCTCAAAGCACTACACAAAGGTTAGATATCATCGTTAGCCTATTTAATGGGAATGAACTAATGGCATCAATATGTTAAACAGTGTCAGTGTGAGGTTTCTTACCAGGCTCGTCATTAACTTAAAAGAAATAAAACTAGATCAATAGCATTTGAGAATATTTACACAGTGATATAGAGCAAAAGGTTTAGGAAGTTAAAAACCAATAACTACGATTAGCTATGTGTCACTTTGCTTCGTTTTGCAATGTACCTGTAAGATTTCAATAATCTTCAGCTTGGTGTCCATCACGGTCACGTCCTCATGGTCAACAGGGCTCCCTTGCTTGCTGGGGTGGATGCTGGGCTGGACATCAGGCACGCTCATGGGGAAGATGGAGCCTCTACTGAGCACCATCTGGGTCATCATCTCTCCCACCCCGTGGATGGTTCTCATGACATTGTTCCCTGGCACGAGAAACATCCCTAAGTCAACACACACAACACCGGAGAAGCAACTGTAATATCCAACTGGCCACCATCAGGCTGAAAATGTGACAGAAAAAGTATTAAGGACAGGACAGAGCAGCATCGGCACCGCTCTGGCTCTTTCCTTGCAGACAAAGTTAAGATATTGCAGATATATAGATGATGTGTTAACAAATGTACACTTGAGACCTGTAGAATTTTACAAACCAATGTCACCTCAATAAATTTAATAAATAAATTTTAAAAAGATATTGCAGACACATTTCAAAATGATAAATTTTAAAAATGAAAGTTTGCTTTTCTCAGAAAATGCTTTGAAATGATGCACCAAGAGCGAACTGTTTGTTACCTCTAAGGACTTCCAAATCAGGTCTTTCTGGAACACAGTAAGTCCTACCAACTATTACACTAGTAGTCTGTACAATAATGTGAAAGGAAGATTACGAATCTCTATGATAAAGTAAGTTGCAAATGAGGATACAAAGATTACAGGAAACCATTTAAATGGTGATTAGCATCCTAATCTTACCCTCAAACCAAGGACTCTTTAGCTTTGTTTTCATACTGGTTTTTAAAAGAGCTTATAGAGAAGATTGTTCCAACTTCATTTTAAGAAAAAAAAAAAGTCTCATCTGGGGAAGAAGCATGTATTTGCCAATATACTTCAGATTCCTTCATCCAATTCAAATAGAAAATCATTACTCAAAATCATGTTTGAGGTAATTACGGAGACAAATTAATGACAAACATAATCATTTTCAATGAAGGGTTACTCCCCTTCTGCATCGTCTTCTGCGTTTGGCTTCTCAATCATTTGTCCTCCAATAAAATGGCACATGCAGTCATTCCTTACACTCACCACGAGTAACAAGAGGGAAGAATCCTCCTGACACTGCTACAATTTACATTCCCCAGCCCAACTGTTGTTTCTCACTTCTAAATTCCTACAAGCAACGGGGATTCCAAACGACGATTGTCTACTTTCCTTTCAGAACAGTGGTCTTGGCTTCATGGGTGTTCGTGGAGCTTCACCTCAAGCAAAGGCCTGAGAATCTGGCCAAGAATTCTCCTTTCCCTAAGTGTCTCAGGGTGTAAAGCAAGACAATGGGAAATAGAAATAAGACATGATGAGATAAAACTCTCAGCTCTGGGCCAGCCGAGTGGCGCCATGGTTAAGAACTGGCTTGGGACGCCAGAGGGCCCCAGTTCGGATCCCATATATGAGGGCCAGTGACACTGCCCTCCACAGCTAAGATGAACAACAGCTCAACCTGGAGCTGGGCTGCTGTGAGTCGCCGGTGACGGCGTAGGCTGCAGCCTCTGTAGTAGTGGGTTGCCATGGGCTACCGTGTGTAGCCAGCAGCCAGCGTGAGCGGCCAGCAGCCGCAGTGAGCGGCCATCCAGAAGCCGACGACTGATCTGCCTCGCCTGGGAAGAGCACAATGATGGTGCCAACTTGGGCCAGTGAAGCAACGTCCTCCACAACTAGACTGAAGAACAAAAGGACAGCAACTTGTCTGTTCCCCTCCCCCAATTCCCCAATTAAAAAAAGTCTTAAAAAAAAAAAAAAGTCTCAGCTCTAAGACTATAAACTGTGGGAATACCTACAGGATCGAAAGGAAAACATTCAAAAGATGACTCAGAATCTTGATGGTCAGACCACAGTTACAACTGAGCCACTCACTGGTAGATACCATTATTTGGACATTGTGAAAGGTGAAATGCCTTTTAAAACTCATTATCCTATTCATACATGGAATTAGTATACAAATGTGCTCAAACAGCACATTTTTTAGTAGGCAAAGAAGTAACATTTTTTTTCTAGACTGGCAACTTTCAGGCAGAAATTAACTTAGGTTTTCATTCTGAGAGTCTGAGACCTTTTATTACACTGATGGTTGCATAAGCCAAGAAAAGGGGAAGTGGGGGCGGAACAAGAAAAAAAAATATGTAAGGTAATCTCCAAGTTTGGGTAAGTTTGAGACAAAGGATTTGAGACAGCCCTCTTTTTATCAGATAACCTTGAGGCAGAATGCTTTCTTGTCTGTGGTTCTCAAACAACCATAGAAATTGAGTATTTCCCAATACCCCCCACTGATTACTACATAGACTGCCAGGATGCACATCTGGTTGGTGGTAATGGTTTGGGGTCATCAATGTTCAACCAATATATTTATCAAGAGTCTTCATTCAAGCATGTATATGTGTTTGCCTCCAAGAGATGATTTCTCACCACTAACAGAGAACAGGCCCCTTTGTTATTCTTACCCTTGATTCACACAGAAATCCTTGGCACCCACAGTATCTGCATCTTATTTAGATTTGCATGGAAAATAATCATTAAATCCAAATGATTATTACATGGAAAGTTAGCCCAGACAATTCTTTCCCTCAAATATAGATCCTGTCACCAAGAAATTAAAATCTAGAGGCCAGAACCATATAATAATACATAACACATGTTGTCGATGAAATGGGAGGGTTCAATCCAGTTGTACCACATCCTTAGATGCCTGTGGAACGTGGCCGCCACAAAACTCTCCTAACATCTCCATGTATGGCCAACTCAGAGGTCTCAAATTAAAAGATGCTATATTTTCTGGAGTTGCTTGGTGGTGAGGAGAAGTGCTTCAATTGTGAACTATTACAGCTTGAAAAACATAAGTCAAACACCACATAAATCAAAGACATGCAAAGCCTCTGATATCCATTTTTCCACAGAAACATCTCTAATTCTAGACTGTTAAGTCAGAGGTGATCAGTCCTCAACACTGCAAAAGAAGAAACCTTACTATTTTTCTTTTCAACCATAATTAGTTAGCTACTAA